TGAGATGATATAACAGTAATTTCTATGCAATGATGAAATACATACATTACCTTTGGTGTAAAACATGTTATAGGAACATTTATTATGTACAATAATTTTAATAGCAGTGTTGGAAGAATGTAAAACAGTAAGCGATGTTTATGATTGTATTTGTAATTAGATGTATAGTATATCATGTTTGAACTAAATGTATATCTGAAAGTAAAAATAAAATATTATGTTTGGCTCAAATGATAACTTAGTATTTTTTCAATATTTTCCAACCTCTTCCTATAATTTTCATCAACTAAGTAGTGTAAATATATTTCATTGCATTCTCTTTTGTTAAACTCTTGTTTTCTCTGTACCTTGTGTTGAAATGTGTATTCGATAAATTTCATAATTTACATTGTCTACCAACTTTCTTTTAATGTTTACCTGAACGACATGAAAAATTCATACAATTAATTAAAATTTTGAATTATATATTTTTTTCTTTATAGTGTTGTGTTTGTTCCCATATAGGAAAATTAGACTCGCCTAAAGTTGAGGAAATAGTGAGATCTATAGATGAATATGGATTTTATCATGATACTGTATTCAAACATCATAATTACGCAGAATTGGAGAAATATTTAAAAGAGTTAAATGGAAATTATCCTAATATTACAAGACTTTATAGTATAGGAAAGTCTGTCGAAGGACGTCAATTATATGTGATGGAAATAACGGAAAATCCTGGGAAACACGATCCAAATAAACCAGAAGTAAAGTATATAGGAAATATGCATGGAAATGAAGTGGTTGGCAGAGAAATTTTATTATTGTTATTAAGACATCTCTGTGAGAATTATGGAACTGATGAAAGAGTTACAAAAATATTAAAAAATGTCAGATTGCATGTAATGCCAAGCATGAATCCTGATGGCTATGAAATTTCTAAAGAAGGCGACGTATATGGAGAACATGGAAGAGAAAATGCTAAGGGTGTTGATCTTAATAGAAATTTTCCTGATCAATATGAGATAAATAAAGTATGAATTATAATTTATCAATTATTTTAATCATCAATACATTGAATACAGTTTTTATATGAACTTTCGCCAGAATTTTAATTTCCTTGTAATTTAATATGTTACAGTACAATAGTGAGCAAGAGCCTGAAACGAAAGCAGTAATGGATTGGATCACAAAAATTCCATTTGTTCTTTCTGCTAATTTTCATGGGGGATCATTAGTAGCAAATTACCCATATGATAATGGACCTTATACTCCAAATCTGAGTCCTGACGATGATGTTTTTAAAGCATTAGCATTGGCATACTCAAATGCTCACCCTCGTATGCACCTTGGTGAACCTTGCCCACCACTTGACCAATTAGGTATGTCAAGTGTACTCGAAGAGCGATTTCCAAATGGAATAACTAATGGGGCTAGTTGGTACTCTGTAAGTGGAGGAATGCAAGATTACAATTATCTTCATAGCAATGATTTTGAAATTACGATAGAAGTTGGATGCACAAAGTTTCCGAATGCGACTGACTTACCAACATATTGGTTACAAAATAGAGAACCTCTGTTACGTTTTATCGAAATGGTACGTATGCTTCTGGTAATATAAACTGTAAATGTCTGTAACGTATGATAATAGCTATAATTATTACCATTTACAGTCTCGTAAAGGTGCACATGGTATAGTACGTTCGTCTATCGGTACTCCGATACCACATGCTAAAATATCTGTCGATGGAATTAAACATGATATCTACACAGCTGAAGGCGGTGACTATTGGCGTCTTCTAATCCCAGGAAGATACAATATTACAGCTAGCGCAGTGGGATATGAGTCTGTGACACAGAACATACTTATACCTGAAGGAGATAACATGGGTGAAGGAGAAATAACACAGGATTTCATATTAATGCGAGATGATCCTGAACATTGGTATAATTATATATAATTTCTATATAGTCATGGAAATTAAGGATATCTTAACATTTATAAAACTAAAAATTTGCAGAATAAGCGATATTTGTATCACTAAATGTTAACAGGGATCGTAATTTATAAGGGATATTAAGAATTTAAGTTTATGAAGAAATTTAAAAGCTTCAAGAAACATTAAGTAAATACTTTAATCCTCTGAAAAAATAGTACATTCAAATAAACATATGAATTCTTATTTTAGGTCATCGTCATACGATTTTCGATTAATTGTAAATTTACAAGATGTTTATTTAAAAAACGTAGAGTTGAATGCAAGATTTGGCGCATTAGAAAATCACCAACTAAACATTGCTGAATTCGAAGCTGGAGATTCGCCAGTTAATATGGCTATACATTCTTTAAAAATTACGCACGATGTAAGTATTGTTTTTCTAAGGATAACATTTATTTGAGTATTATGTATTATAATTATTTTAATGTACAAAAATATTTGAGACTTAACATTGTCTTTGCAGATGGGAGCACCGGAAGAAAATAAATTTCATATTGGCTTAATTGGAGGACTATTTGCTTCTCAACCTGTGGGTAGAGAAGTTCTGCTGCGCTTAGCTACTCATATTCTTATGGGAAATAAAATTGGAGATCCTCCTATACAGAGGATATTGAATAATTCTGTTTTACATTTTATTCCTGGTATAGATCCAGGTTTTGATAATATATTAAATAGTCGAGAATGTAATCCCATAGTGAAGGATGAAGTTGGTAAAAGACTTTTACAAAAGGGCACTTTGAATTCTGATAAGCTCGATACGATTACCAGTGCATTTAAGGAAATGATGGCTAATGGAGAATACGATGCAGTAATTATAATAGGAAGTGGGGCACTTAAAGTCAGGTAATTGAAAGTAGAAAAATTGGCACTACTAATTCTCAGGATAAATTGGAAGACAGCTTATATATTCTGTATCATTATTTCAGTTATACCGACGATAGTTTCAATGTATATCATACACTTGCTCAAAATTATGAGCATTCAATGGATAAAGGAATATGTAACAACCTCAATAATGAAGTTAAAGATGTGCAAGATTATATTCAAAATGAATATAACATTCCTGTAGTAAGTAACGCATATGCAAACTTATAATTATCGGACAGTATAGTGTATAATTTTATTATAATCCATAATATTTTTAGATGACTGTTAACTTGGCTTGCTGCAAGTATCCATTTGCCGAATATATTCCAAACATTTGGCGTGAAAATTTGTTGCCTCTAAAGCAGCTTATTCAAAGTTTAACAACCGGTATTCGGGCAGTAGTGACAGATGTTAATAATATTCCTCTGAGGAATGCTACAATTAAAATTGGAACAAAACAATACAGTGTATCAAAAAATATGGCTTACTTTAAGATTATTCTACTTCCCGGTGAATACATGCTAATATTCTCCTGCGAAGGCTACATGGAGCAGTTTGTAAAAGTTCACGTGGAGAATGAAAATATAACAGATCTTAATGTGAAGTTAATAAAACGTAATACGGATGAAGAAAAACATGGAAAAAATAATGAATATTCGGAATCGAATGTAATTAATCAAGCTTTAAATGATTTAAATGATAAATATTCGCACTCATCTGTTTTGCACATTATTGGAAGATCACAGAAAGGTGTCCGAATAATGTGTCTAGAAATTGGAACTGAAAACAATTACAAACGAATAGGTCGTCCATCGATTGCGTTTGTTGCTGGTATTTCGAATGGCGTGTCTCTGACATCCGAGGTCTTATTACATTTTGCTACGTATCTTTTGGATCACTATGGAAAGGATACCACAGTTACAAATTATTTAGATAAATATACAATATATATTGTCCCGGATTTAACTCAAAACTCGAACAAGAATCAATCATGTTCTTCCTTCATTGCTGATGACCTATTGTTTCCTATTAATGGCGCACTATCTAACGAAGCAGATACAATAATTTATTGGTTCAGAAAAGTTAGTCCAATGTTGGCAGTAAATTTAAATATTGGTGGTCAGCATATTGAAATTCCTTTCGCTGGAAAATACGGTGAAATGCCAGGAAACGTGTACAAAACTGACGATGATGCAGTGTTGCAAGAGCTAGCGATGACATACACAAAACACAATGCCCATATGACCTCTAACAATTCATTGTGTGATCGTGATTTAAATAAAAATGCTAATGGTGTTATTCACGGTGGAGAAGGAATTAATGGAAAGAGAGAGCATTCTCTGTTGGATTATCTTTATTTAAATACAAGTACTTTGATGGTGGATGCATACATTACCTGTTGTGATACAGATGGTTCGAAAAATGTGTGGGAAGATAATAAAAATAGCTTATTAGCTATGATAGACAAGCTTAACAATGGAGTAAAAGGATATGTTCTTACTAAAAATGACGAACCAATAGAAAATGCTATTTTATCGTGTAATAATTCGTTACATCACATTAAAAGTGGAATGAACGGAGTTTATTGGCTTCTACTTCAACCTGGTACTCATGCTATAAGTGCCAAGGCAGCTGGATATATTCAGCAAACTAAAGTTTTCGTTACAACAGATGTACATAATGTTTCAAAGTTAATATTTAAATTAACATATAACGACAAGTTCCTAGGAATGCCTAGAATTGTTTTCATTATACTTATAAGTAAGATATCGAATATTAATATATAGAAAATAGATATACCCTGGAGAAATAATTACTTAAAATCGTATTTCCTTAGGTACTATATGCTTTGGAATTATTGCTTGTACCGTGTTCATCGTTGCAAATTGTAAGTCTTCCAAACAGTCTGAACAAAATAATAGAAGTAAATACGCGTTCAGTCTACTTAAAGATGGAACAAGTTTCTTTGATGACGATGAGAAAGAAGTTGAAATATTTAAAAGGCCAATAAACGGTAAGCCCTATTTTCCTAAAAAAAATGTATTTATATGATTATCAGATTTCAGTTGTTCTTAAAAGATGTAGGATATAGTACATCTTCTCGCATATTTTACACTTTCAGGGCTTATGCAAGATAATGAAATTACAAAACCATATTTTGACGACGACAACTTGTCCAGTTCAGATGATGCCAGTGATTTAGAGTTTATTAGGCCGAGTTAAGTGATAACACTGTAGCGATACAAATTATAATGCAGGTTTTTGTAAAAAAATCGACTTTTCTAATAACTATATCTATCCGGTGATAACAATTTTTAAACTAAAATTATTTGTTATAAACGTAGATTTAGGTAAAGGCATAAGATGTAAAGGAAATGTACAGAAAATGTACTTAACATGTTGTGAAAATTATGCAGGATATA